GACCTTTGGAACCACAGGTAGCCATAATTAAAGGTGCATTTTGACGACTGAGCTCCTTCATGCAAATTTGACCGACCTCTTCTCGAACCTTAGACAAGACTGAGGAAATCATTGCTTCCAGTGTTTGCTCCTGGTCACATCCCGGCTTGTTCTCGAGCTTTCCCTTCTTGGCGCGTTCGATGAGGTCCTGACAATCCGCGTACGCCTTCTCGACAAGGTAATCTTTCTGCCGATTAAGCTCAGGGCCGGGGATAACGTCGTTGATTCCAAGGGAGAAACCATAATTGGCTAACCGTTCGTTTAGCTGCGTGTTGAGGAGACAATCGACGGGTACCCACCGAGATAACGAGCACAGAGTTTCGCAAGGCGGTTCATTGCCGCAGCCGCCTCATTAGGACCGTAGTCACGCATAATGACACCGAATATCGATTTCTTCTTTCCGCTTCCAACCGTGGCCTTGTCCATAACACCACACATGATCTCGCTGTTGATGATCACCAGCCATCCATCGTTCGGCGAAAGGTCATTCACAGGGTTCATCGCATAATTCGCCGCCTTGGCCTCTTCCCATTTGTGGCACTTCGACTCCACGTTGACAAAGATCTTCGACTTTTTGTTGGGTCGCATGAGAACGTTAAACACTTGTTTCCCCGTCCACAGTCGTTGGGGTTTCCAGATCGTTGGGGGTGGTATGTCGATCTGCATATTTGCGTCGCCAAGGTAACAACATATCTGAGTGAATTGTCGTCGGTCAAGAAAGCGGTCTTTGCGTGAGAGTAAGAAGGAGGCAGTAATGAAATCTTGAATAGCGGCGATGACGGGCTCGCCATTACGAGGGGTTACGAGATTGTGTTTGACGCTCATGAGCTCAAGGGCCTCTGTTCGAGCTTCTTCCGTTTGAGGTACGTCTAAAACAAACAGTGAGAACGAGGACCTTTCGACAAGTCAGATCCTTACGCAAATTCATCTCGTCTCCGTCAAAATCAGCATTATATGGTCCACATACACATTCATTCAATCGGAAGGATCGCCATGGCCTGACTTTTGCCTGCACAGACATGAAAAATCAGGATAAAGCGTTGGATAAAATACGATCAGCACGTACTCGATGACACATAATTGAAAGCTACATCTCAATCAGCACTCCAGTAATTGACTGGGGAACTCAACGCTCACCTTATGCAAACTGGGTTGTCGATTGAACAAAACAACATCACCATCGATTACGTGTCTCTCAACAACATCACCCACTGCCAGCCCATCGGCCACAGCGTTTCGGTTTCCGAACTTCAAGAACTTCTTGTTCTCCCCACGAGCGACAAAATTCGCTCCGGGGTGCACGTCTGTACCGTTCCGTATCGCCTGCTTCAACTTCTCCATGTTGTGTGGCGTCACACGTTCGGGATAAGTGAGAACCTTGGCAACCCGTTCCGGCACAGCGACCTCGTCGATACGTAAATTGGGATCTGGCGAGATGACAGTACGGCCAGAGAAATCTACACGCTTTCCAGACAGATTGCCACGGAAACGACCTTGTTTGCCTTTCAGACGCTGGACGAAGCCACGTATTGGCTTTTGGCCTGGTTGTGATGGCACGCCGGGAAGTTCAGAATTGACGTACATCGCGACGGACAACTGAAGGAACTCCCATTGTTCCTGGAAGGATATGGTCAGGTTGGATGGACGATAAAAGGGACGAACGACAACATACCATGAACTGGGGCGTAGGAGAACCCTTGGCGAGTCCTTGCTTGATCAATGCATTTGTAAAGACTATCTCTGTCAGTTTAACGGTAAGGTCGTCTTCATTTGATGCACCGTCCTGCGCAACAGAGGGGCGGATGCAGACTGGAGGTACTGAGATGTACTGCCAAATAAACTCTTCTGGTCGACCAAAGCTAGGCTGTAATCCGAGCAACTCGCAGTCCTAAAGAGATTGAGGAAATGTCATAGAGAATAAAACAGTCAACTCACTTCGTCAGATATTCGTCGGAACAGATCAAGTACTTTTAGAGGGTTTAGATCCTCGTGGACAGCTTTGTTGATATATATCGCGAGCTCCTTCTGCGCTTCCACCGCCGGCGCAAAAGTCTTTTTCCACTTCTCCATCTCCTCAGCAGTTTTCTTCGCACGGAATTTGTCGTGGATGATTTTGAGGGCGCCAGCTTTCTTCACGGCACCATTGGTAGCAGAGCAATACGGGCAGTATACGCATTTTCGAGCCATCGTGTTCACAGCCTTGATCAGAGACTGCCGTTGCATATTTTCAAGATTTGGCCGTCGGAATCGTTTTATAAAGACGCGGCGGTCAGGTTCCTCTAAGAGGACGCGTGCGCATGTCTGTATGGTATTAAGAACGATCGAGGACATCCATTCTGGGTCGACTCACTTTGCATATGGCTTGTAGGATGCCAATCGTGTGCTTGAAATACCCAATGTGGAATACTGGAACGACAAGCTTGATGTATGCATAGTGACCGACACAGTTGATGGAAGATTGACCACAGGTTTCACAGAACGCATTCTTGTCCGTCGTTCCCTGCAGTATATGGTGAGGGCCGTAACTTTTGGTCACAGGAACATTCAGCGCACTAGTCGACGATCGAGCACTCCATCTTTTACTGGCAAACGGTCTGTTGCGGTGTATAGATCTCGATGGGTAACTTCAAACTCGGAGATCTTTACAGTGTCTTGTGCATTCAAAAGACTGAACTGTAATTTCTTGCTATTGCGACAAGCCCGTAAGCACCACAAGACCTACAAAGCTGTTCAATACATACATGATCTTCGGTGCCTGATGAGATACAGCTTCTTTCATCTTGGCCCCGCCCCACTGGCTCCTACACTGTTCGGAAGACAAACTCTGACTCGGCTATCGTGCCAAGTTGGCCTGCAGTGGCCCAAATATCTTCCGATTACAACTTCAGGTCGTTGAAGAAATCGTGGCGCGGAAACGACGCCTTCCAGAAGGGCGTAAAAGGTCAGAAGTCGAAATAGAGGTTTGATGCACGCCAAATTCTGTATTCAGAAATTATCGGCCCGTGACGTGACCGTGACAAGATCGCGTGACGACTTGCGCGTCCTCACTGCGTAGTCTTGTCAAGTCCTCGTCTCCTCCACCATGTCAAGAACATCCTACGACAGGTTCGCACCGCAGATAAACTACCTATATATGCTAATTTACGACTAATAGATATCTCACTGTCTTCTCGCCTGAGGGTCGGCTCTATCAAGTTGGTGAGTACTCAATGCTATACAATTGGGATTTTGAGCTCATATATCGTCTGATCTGCCAGAATATGCCTTCAAGGCAATTTCTGGATCAGGGCACACGGCAGTGTCTGTCCGTGGAAAGGACACATCCGTCGTAATAACACAACGGAAGGTCCCTGTGCGTCTCATATACCTCGTCAAATGTCGTTCATGAACTGACCGACCCTCAAAGGACAAGCTTCTTGACGCGTCGACCATCACTCACATGTTCAGCATTACACCTACTATTGGATGTGTGATGACTGGTCTCGTTGGTACGCACGATCCCAATCTTCAAAGGCTTCCTCGACTGACTTCGTACCACAGCCGATGCCCGTGCTCAGGTCACCCGTGCGCGCTCAGAAGCAGCAGAATTCCGATACAAATATGGTTACGAGATCACCCCCGATGCCCTCGCTCAACGTCTAGCCAACATTAACCAAGTGTACACCCAACGTGCAGCAATGCGACCACTAGGCATAGGTACGTTATCTCCAAATTACAATCTACACCTCTTCCTCACAGCCGTCCAGCAATGATTCTCATCGGTATCGATCCTGAACTTGGCCCTCAAGTCTTCAAACTTGATCCCGCCGGATACTTTGTTGGCTTCCACGCCACCGCTGCAGGGCAGAAGCAGCAAGAAGCGATGAACCATCTTGAGAAAAAGTGGAAGAAACTTGACTCAGGACGAGGTGCTGACGATGCAGTGAAAGCCGGGAAGACACTCAGTCGGAGCGAGGTCATCGAGGTTCGTACTGACACTTGACACAGTTCGTTCGTACTGCTCACTTCCATCCAGATGGCGATTGAAGCCATGTCAACCGTCCATGCGACGGACTACAAGCCGGGAGAAATCGAGATTGGGATTACATCGAGCAGCCCGGACGAGGACGAAAAGACACGGGGGCTATGGCGCGTCATGGGCGAGGCTGAGATTGAGCATCACCTGTTGGCATACGCCGAGAAAGACTAGCCAATATACCGCTTTACTTCTGACCCCTTGGCTGCCTCCCCTCTCTCTGACGTGCCGAATTGAGCTTTTGCTACATTGTATGAATATTCAAATAAATAGATCTACGATTATATAAAGTCTCGTCCGAGTCAATTAGTGTAAGGACGCGCCGCCGCTCTGAACACTAGCATGAGCAAGATCACTAGACGCTGAAGGAAAACTCACCAGAATAGCATCAATCTCTGCCTCTTCAATATCCTGCCTCCACAGCCGTTCAGGCGCCTGCCAGAACTCGCTCAGAACAGAATTTGACGCGAGCGTGGTGGATGCCTTCTCCCCAGAGGCTTCTATCTTTTTTATAAACTCTGAGAATCGACTCTTGAGCTCAGCGGGTGCCGCAGGGTGCGCCTGTGGTGGGCTTGGTGCTAAATGAGGTATATGAGGACATTGTAACAAGAAATGTGAGATGATTACTAACTGGTGGGATATGTGCGCTTTCCGAGGAATTTAATGAGCGGCTGGTGCGCTCGAGATGATAATACGCGCAAAGAAGGGTGCATAAGTGGTCGTGGTTCGAAGGAAACGGACGGTGAAGCCAGATCAGATGCCGGAGCCGGCCGAAGCGCTTTGTTTACTTGTGTCATTAGAAGGTGCAGAGATTTAACTAAAATATGCAGCAATTCCTTATCTTCAGGCGTGGAAAGTGCTCTGAGTTGCTTACTTTGTGGGACGGGTGTATTCCTTTGATTGAACAGAGCTTTCCAAAAAACAAAAAACAAGTAAGAAAATATTATGACAACTGTGAGATTCGAACTCACGCCCCGAAAGACTAGATAGTGTGTTATGAACACCTGATTCTAGCGCCTTAGACCGCTCGGCCAAGTTGCCTTAAGGCTGGTGCGGTCTTGCTTTTACTCGTGTTGTCGGTGTGGTGTCTCCAAGAAGGTTTATCGAAGCACCTGAGCCGATCTAATTGAGTAGCGTCTCTAATACGAGCATGAGATCATATTTCCGGGAGCCAGGATACTTGGATATCTTTGAGAAAGTGATTCCAAGTGCGTCAATGGCAAGTTATTAGAGCATCTTTTGCATAAACGAAGCTAAATAGAAGTTGTTCTTTCCGGACCGCACCTCATAGTCATCAACAGACTCATTCAGAATTCACCTTGAATTGTCTATAATGTCGACCTCAGTGAAAGATAAAAGTAAGGTGTCGGATATCGGAAGTCTGACACAGAGGTCACACCACCTTCGGACCTGGTTCCGTTTCCGCTTCCACACAGCGCCACATTCTGGCTCAATGACTTAGATCCATATTTAAGGAATGATTAGCGAAAAAATTACCGGTCATATTTGAGACGGCCATTGCCATATCCAAGACCGGTTGTTTGTATTTCATTGCTGAGTTCATGCTGGCTCCTTGGACTCGATAAATGGCAAAGACGAATGATCAAAAGTGACAAGAGTGGGATTTGAACCCACGCCACGATACCGTGATGAGAACCCACCAAGGCAGGCAAGCTACGCTTGAGTCACACGCCTTAACCACTCGGCCATCTTGCCTATGCTTCTGGCGTTTATGTTCGTCGGCTCCCAGCTTACTTACATCCTGTGAAGGTTTTTCAGGTTATACAAGACTTGCCCGAGGTATCGATTTTATTGAGATGATTTGAATATGTATCGGTCAGCAGTTGGCATAACAAAGTAGAAAGTTGCGAATGTCTGAGCCTTCATAGATCTTTCTGATCAACTCATTCAACGACAGCTTGTTCTGAATTTTGTAGTATATATCATCTCGGTGTACTTGGAGAGGCGGAGAAACGATTTCTTGACTGGAAGTTGAATTGATTGGCGATCACCAGTCCGCGAAAGTATCAACAGCTCTTCCAAACGTTCCTCACTTGTCGAAGATCAGCAATTTTTGTGTAAAGAGTCTTGGGGAAGAGATGGGAAAAAGTGACAAGAGTGGGACTTGAACCCACGCCACGATACCGTGATGAGAACCCGCGAATGCAGGTAAGCTACGCTTGAGTCACACGCCTTAACCGCTCGGCCATCTTGCCTTATTTAGCACATTAAAAATGGTGACCTATATCTCCGCGCTCGTGGCATCGCTTCGATATTTAAAAAGGTTAAAGAATGAGACAGGGAACGCCAAAACAAAGCTGATGATACAAAGGTGCTACTACGATACATTGTAAGTTCTGTGCTTAAATTCCCCCAAGGCAAAATCCTAGTAATCAATCTTCCGCCCCTGACTCGTCGTCCGCCTCCATTGGCGGCCAGAAACTGTCGATCTCCTCGGCCTCGGACCCAGAAACCATCTCTTCAGAACCAAGGTTCTTCGAGCGTATCCCGGCATCTTTGAAGATACGGACCGTCTCCCAAAAGACAGCCTCCGCCGAGGTGGCAGCGGCGTCGGGTAGATCTGGTAAAGGAGAGGCTGGTGCGAGGGATGGGCGGACGATGTACGTTTGTGGTTGTGTAGTTGAGGTATCTGACGGCGGAGGAGGGGAAGCATCTGGGTGCTCAATGTAGAAAGCTGTGAAGAGTGGCTGAGGCGGCGCAGCTTCTGGGAGCGAAGTAGTCATGGGGCTTGACGAAGACTCTGAGGGTATAGTTGGACCGGAAGAGGTTGGCCCGGCCGTCAGTGCAAGCGCAGCATCGAGATATGGTTTGAGGATCTGCTCAGCAGTCGTCGAAGCCTCAACAGTCGTCGATAAAGGAAGAGAAATATACAGAATCCCTTAAATGACGATCAGCTGGAATAACAAAAGAGGTGGCGGATAAGGAAAACGAACATTTCCCTCTTGGTGTGGACATGGTGCCTTCGCCTGTTACTAGCACTGTAGCCGCTCTGTCCAAGGATCCCCCTAAAACAGAAGACGGAGGGAAGACGATGACCCCAGCGTCAAGTGGCGCTGGAGGCTTTGGTGGTTCGGGAGAGTCTGTAAAGTTCTCCTCACTGTCGTCTTCGACAGTAGGAGGCACGGCCGCGGATGGAAATATGATTCCTCGGTCAACGATTACAATACCCCGTGCGACCGACAGAGAAGAAGCGTAGTTATTTTGAACATCGGGGCCGGCAAGATGCTTTGCGAGGTGAGCAAGTTGTGGTGGTAAATGGGAGGCAGATGAGATGATCACATGGGACGTCAATGTGTCCGGGAAGTCGTCCAGAGTAAGAGAATAGCGTTTGGATGATGGTTCTCCCCCAGGCTCAGAAGTGGTTGTTGAGGGATGAGTAATCGATGTTATACGTCTGCCAAGGATGTAGACACCCCCGCAGACCGCCGAAGCACGACAGAAGCCCTGGGAAATCTCGCCCGCACCTCCATAGTGACCAACAAGGAATGGTGAGGGGCCATACCTGCCCATTGAGAGGAGATATCGCCGGGTGCGGTGGAGTGCGGGCACAGCAGGCTCTGTAGACGCATGATAAGGGACCAGAATGGCATGTCAAGGTTAAGACTCACCAGATGGGCTAAAAGAAAATGCTAGCGCAAATACCAAAGCTGCTTGCAAATCCTCCTTGAGAGCAAAAACAGTCTCCAAGTATTCAGCGAAGGTCATCTTATCTGCACCCTCAAACTCCTTCTCGTTCTCAAAGTTTCCAGCAGTAAATTTGAGAAATCGCATTAGGCGCCGCTTGTCCACGAGTGATATTTCCTTGCTCTTAAATACGTCTTCCTTCGACCCTGGAACGTTCTTGATGACGCCTGAAGAATGGTAGACGCCAACACGCTCCAAAAGTCGAAAGCCTCCATACTTGGCCACACCAGAAGAGACCAGAGATGATATTATGGGACCTATAGATGGTATTATAGACGGTGAAATGCAGATGGAGTACTGTCGGGTCTGTGAAGGCACTTTGGGCGATCGCGAAACGGACGTGTACTTGGGATTGCTTGACAAGGCCATAGAGTCTACCCATTGTGCAAGCTCATCAAGGGAGATGCTGGCTTCGTTTCCGCCATAGTAAGGGTTCTCGTCAATGTGAGCAACCTTGAAGCCAGACTTAGAAAGAGCACTGTACATAAGTGACTCGTGAATGACGGATCACAGTCGAATGACGTTGTGGCTTACGCTGCAGCAATTGATTCGGCGAGGCCTGTGCCTATAATAATGGCGTCAAAGCTACTGTCCTCCATGGGCAGTATAGATCTTTAACAAGTGCTGCGCTGGGATTGTGGCCGTCAGTATATAGGAGCAGGCACTCAGGAAGAGGACATGCGTCAACGCTGTTGTGAGATCATGATCGCCGGATATGGTCACGTGCGGTTCCACCGGCCCTAATTCTGAACTTTTTTTGCCCAAAAAAATTTGATCCCTGAAATTGGACACTGCATAACCCTCCCACTACTCCCATCATCCCTCCTCAAATGGCCAAATCAGACAAGAAGGCAGAAAAGAAGGCGAAAGCCGCCGCTCCCAAGGCCGACAAGAAGGTTGAGAAGGTCGCTGCGAAGACCAAGGAGGTCGTTGCTAAAGTTTCGGTATGTTGGTTTGCAACTTTGGAACATCTGGTGTGCGACTGATTTATTATCTTTCACAGAAGAAGGGCAAGGATAAGGCTCCTGCAAAGCCTGTCAAGAAGCCTGAAACCAGCGACGATGACTCGTCTGACAGTGAGGAGGAGGTCAAGACCAAGCCTACGAACGGCAAGGTGTGTGAATATTCTGTTACTAATTAAAATTTCATGTTGAATTGTTTCAGGCCAAAGAGGCTTCCTCAGACGAGAGCAGCGAGGAATCTTCGTCAGAGGACGAAAAGCCCAAGGCTGCCCAGGTCAAGGCCACACCGTCAAAAGCTGCTCCCGCCGCCTCATCCGATTCCTCGGACGACTCGAGTGACGAGGAGCCTGCACCCAAAAAGGCTGCGCCCACCAAAAAGGCCGCCCCCGCGCCCGCTGCCAAGAAGGCTGCGCCCGCAAAGAAGGCCGCCCCCAAAAAGACCGAATCTTCGGACGACTCTGATGACTCCAGCGATGACTCCAGTGATGAAGAGCCCGCCCCCACAAAAGACGCCCCGGCACCTACTGCTGCTAAGAAGGACGACTCCTCTGATGACTCCTCTGATGACTCTTCTGATGAAGATTCCGACGACGACTCAGAAGAGGCAGCTAAACCCAAAGCCACCACCAAGGAGTCTGAGAGTAGCAGCGAAGAGTCGTCTGATGAGGACAGCGATGTTGAGATGGCGGATGCCGAGCCTGCAGCCAAGTCAGGTATCCATCACCGCTTCTTTTTTTCGTTCGATGTCACCTGTCTAAATTCAATCCGCAGGCAAACGCAAGGCAGAGGACGACGCCCCTGCTCCACCCAAAAAGGTCAAGCTCGCCAACGGTGATGCTGCCCCTGCCTCTGAGGAGTCGAAATCTATCTTTGTTGGCCGTCTATCATGGAACGTTGACAACGACATGCTAGCTGCTGCTTTCGCCGAGTGCGGTGAGGTCGAGTCAGCCACGGTCCAGATGGACCGGTCGACTGGCAAGTCGCGTGGCTTCGGCTATGTCCATTTCACGACCAGCGACGCCGTCGAGAAAGCGCTTGCTATGAATGGACAGGAAATTGACGGCCGGCCCGTCAACATTGACCGTAGTACACAGCTTGACAAGAGCCAGGCGCGAGAGAAACGTGCGTCGGCGTTCGGTGACCAGATCAGTCCCCCGAGCTCGACGCTCTTTGTTGGCAACTTGAGCTTTAGCGTTACTGAGGACACCGTTTGGACCGTCTTCAACGAGTATGGAGTCAAGAGCGTACGACTCCCTACTGATCGGGATACAGGGCGTCCCAAGGGCTTTGGATATGTTGAATTCGAGGATATTGAGGGCGCTAAGAAGGCTTTCGAGGCTCAAAATGGAGCGGATATTGAAGGTCGCAACATCC